CTCTCGGATCGTCATATCCGCCCCGCCCATTTACGCCCGCATTACATGAGTATGAGAGTGCAATCCAAAAGACATGTGAGCATGAGAGTGCAATCCAAAGGCATGAGAGTGCAATACAAAGGACATGTGAGCATGAGAGATCTTAGAGAGAGAGAGACACAGAGAGTCGGAAATAACAGCTGACATAGGCAGATAGGATGGAAACATCACAGTCAGTTAAGCCTTTATCTGGTTTAATTACGTCCTTCCAATGATTGCTCAGTTTGTAACCATTCTCTCAGTTGAAGTTGTGTCGGTGTTGATAAATCTTGATGGCTTCATGAACAAATCTCTAAAGGTAGCCAGTAGGTTTGCAGAGTACCTCCGTCTTGGAAAAATCAATTTCGTTTGAGCCCACAGTGTTAAAACAATGATCGGCAATCGCAGAGATATTGGTCCTACCGTGTTACAGATCTGCCTTGTGTTCACGAACGCTGTCCAAGACATGTCGTTTCGTTTCCCCAATGTAACTGCTGCCACAACCACAACTCAGTTTGTAGACACCAGGGTATTGCATGTCAGGAATCACATGCTTTACAGTTGGGATTAAATCACTGGATCTTGTGTTCGTTTAATATTTCTTGTGTTCGTTTAATATTTTGGAAATCTTTTTGGTAACCCCCGCGAAAGAGTGTTACAATAAAGAAGGTGCCTCCTGCAACTACCTCGTCTCCGACTTGTGCTACACTACACATACATGCAGCGGGTGTTGTCGATGAAATGAACGGATGTGGGAGGGAACGCGGAACACCTGGAGCAAGCCCACGAGTGCGAGGAGGAAGCGCTCGATTTCACTCCAGACATTTGAGTCCACTGTTTTGTTTGGTATCGCTCTTCCTGCTTTCTCCTGGCGAAGCCTCCCCGGGGGTTTTCTGCTCCCTCCTCCTCCTCCTCCCCTCATCCTCCGCCCTCTTCCTCCCTCCTCCTCCCCCTCCTCATCCTCCCTCCTTCTCCCTCCTTCTCCCTACTCCTCCTCTCTCCTCCTCCCTCCTCCTTCTCTCCCTACCTCCCTTCCTCCTCCTTCCTCCTCCCTCCGTCCTCCTTCCTCCCCCTCCTCCCTCCTCCTCTACCTACCTACCTCCCTCCTCGCCCTCCTCCTCCCATCCACAACCCTACCCTCCACCTGCTCCCACCTCTCCTCCTTGCACCTCACACTACTCACTCCTCACTCCCCTCTTCCTGGTCTCTTTTCACTCCTCCACCTGCTCCGAACCCTCACCTCTCTCCTCTTCATCCTTCCTCCTCCTCCTTCCCCCCTCCATCCTCCTCCCTCCCCTCCTCCCTCCTCGACACCCACGCCGTGGGGGAAAGCAAAGGGGGTGGGGGGAGTTCACCACCATCATCTCTGCACGTGATCCACCAGCCCTAGCCACTCGCACTCCAACCGCGGTGCTAGAATCGCTAACGGGGGGGGGGCGGTGCGGCCCCCCGTGGCCAGACACCACGGGGGGGGGGGGAGGTGTTTGACGGTGATGGTTGCTACATCGCCAATTAAAGCGGAATTCGCGGCCCATGGGTCGATATTGTGCGGCGTGATCCCAGGAACCATGGCAGAGCCATTTAATAATAGCGGAGGGATGGAGGCGTTGGAGGGGGGGGGGGGGTCCGGGGGTAGTGGAGGGAGTGAGAGGAGGAGGAGGGGGTGGAGGGGGTGGTCATGAAGGCATGGGGAGGTTAATGTGCCGTGCAAATGTTTCTATGAAGGGCAGCTTTTTTTAGAGGATCACTCTCTCTTTCTCTCTGTGCATGGGCAGCAACACTTTGGGTGGGTTACCACCTCCTGCAATGCGAAAAACCGGGACGTTTGCGTTTTCAGAGCGAGGAGATAATGTCATCGTAGCGAAATAAAATGAACTATTTCAAATATTTCCTTTTTATTTTACAAGGCAAGGGCCACATGAGCTATGTCGCTCTTTTTTAACAGAAGCGACCTGGCCACAAATGATAGCCCACGGGATTGTCTCATCGTGTGGAAATTTATAGCAGCCAAATACTATAAACGCGTATTGCTAAATGTGGAGAGAAAAATCCGGAGGATCCGGAGAAAAATTCCACGCGAACACGGGGAGAGAGAGGCATGCAAACTCCAAATATACAGCAGCAGGCGTCAGGGTTGGGATCAAACCCACGGCCTCTTGTATACCAGGCGAGGTAGTTAACATCTCCTAGCCACCGTGATAATGATGAGAGAGAGAAACACGCAAACTCCAAATATACAGCAGCAGGCGTCAGGGTCGGGATTGAACCCACGACCTCCTGTACACCAGGCGAGGTAGTTAACATCTCCTAGCCACCGTGGCGCCCCACACACGGCCACTCCGTGACAACCCACGCGTGCGACGTACAGACACGAAGCATGATCCCCCCATCGACGGATCAAGTGGAATCCGCATTGTTGCTGGGACATCCATAGTTAACACCGTGTCACCCCAATAGGATGGATCTGCATGCACGTGTGAGTATTAGAAAAACTAAATTGGAAACCCATATTTTGGGGGGTAACATTTATTTATTATAACATGTTGACATTGGATGCCATCAACATCAGCTCCCCGCCACCAACTCTAAGTTCCCGCGGATCGAATCTTTTCTGGAATGGGTAGTGTTAGTATATGGGTAGTGTTAGAATATGGGTAGTGTTAGTATATGGGTAGTGTTAGTATATGGGTAGTGTTAGTCTATGGGTAGTGTTGAGTCTATGGGCAGTGTTGAGTCTATGGACAGTGTTGAGTCTATGGGCAGTGTTGAGTCTATGGGTAGTGTGTAGTCTATGGGTAGTGTTGAGTCTATGGGCAGTGTTGAGTCTATGGGCAGCTGGTGGTGGTGCTGGCGGTGGTGCTGGTGGCGATGCTGGTGGTGGTGCTGGTAGTGCTACTGCTGGTGGTGGTGCTGGTGGCGATGCTGGTGGTGGTGCTGCTACTGCTGGTGGTGGTGCTGGTGGTGCTGGTGGTGGTGCTGGTGGTGGTTCTGGTCGTGGTGCTGGTGCTGGTGGTGGTGCTGGTGGCGATGCTGGTGGTGGTGCTGGTGGTGCTACTGCTGGTGGTGGTGCTGGTGGTGCTGCTGGTGGTGCTGGTGGTGGTGCTGGTGGTGGTGCTGCTGGTGGTGCTGGTGGTGGTGCTGGTGGTGGTGCTGGTAGTGTTGGTGCTGGTGGTGGTGCTGGTGGTGCTGGTGGTGCTGCTGCTAGTGGTGCTGGTGGTGGTGCTGGTGGTGGTGCTGGTGGTGCTAGTGGTGCTGGTGGTGGTGGTGGTGGTGCTGGTGGTGCTGCTGCTAGTGGTGCTGGTGGTGGTGCTGGTGGTGCTGGTGGTGCTGCTGGTGGTGCTGCTGGTGCTAGTGGTGCTGGTGGTGGTGCTGCTGCTGGTGCTGCTGGTGGTGCTGGTGGTGCTGGTGGTGCTGGTGCTGGTGCTGGTGGTGCTGGTGCTGGTGGTGCTGGTGCTGGTGCTGGTGGTGCTGGTGGTGCTGGTGGTGGTGCTGGTGGTGCTGGTGGTGGTGCTGGTGGTGCTGGTGGTGGTGGTGCTGGTGGTGCTGGTGCTGGTGGTGGTTCTGGTGGTGCTGGTGCTGGTGGTGGTGCTGGTGGTGCTGGTGGTGGTGGTGGTGCTGGTGGTGCTGCTGGTGCTGCTGGGGATCCTCGACGTGAAGAGCGGTGGCAGAGCGGTTGGCGCCGCGCCGCGAACCCGGCGGTGCAGGGCCTCCCCTAGGTCGACTCAGCTTCGAATGAGTACCTGCCGTGGTGTGTAAACTTCGCCAGTGGGGAGACAAAGGCGGCCGGGCGAGTGCCGTGCCGGCCTTCATAGGCGCTACTCGCTCACAGCACTTGCCCCGACAGTCTGTTGAGGCTATACGGGTGATCTTTGTGTTTGGGGGGCACAGGTGGTGGCACCGGCCAGCCATCTCAGCCAGTCAACCCATGGCACCTGCTGGGCCTGTCCCGTGACCTCCTAGCGGCGGGCGTTCGACACTTGGCCTCGGAGTGCACCTAGCCTGGCACAAGCGACGCGCCGTGGCGTCATCGCCACTTGGTGGCGAATGTTGTTGTTCTATTTCCGTAGCTGTCAACCCCTTATCAGCGCCCCTACCTCATTACAGACCGATTCAGATCGTATTGATCACCCCGTGCCCCTTATAAACATCAACGTTCATTCCACAAAGTCCCCTCGCAAGGGAGAAACACAAACACATAAGGGCCGTCCATAAATGACGTCACGCGATTTTGGACGATTTTTGACCCCCCCCCCCTTCGTCACACGACGTCACAAAAAGTCAGACCCCCCCACTCTCAAATATGACGTCACAAAGCTCTGCCCCCCCCCCCCCCAAATAAAACATGCTTCAAATCGCTTTAAACTATTGTCATTGTAGTGCGTATTTAATGTGGCGCTGCACTCTGATGTTGTAGGAGAAAACATTTATTAAAAAGTCTATTTAATTAAGTAGAACGTGTTGTCTATATTGATTTAAAGTTGCGCATTTTGATGTGACGTCACATTTCTCAACCCCCCCCACTCGTCACACATCGTCACAAATGTCTGACCCCCCCCCCCCTAGGTGCGTGACGTCATTTATGGACGGCCCCATAGACACAAATTATGTTATTAAACACAAACAGTTTTACGTATTAATTTAGATAATTGGTGTCAATGGTGCTACTTATCATGCTACTGTCTGTGATCTTGCATGCTGATGCTGATGCTGCTTGCTTGATATGTGAATGCACACACTCACAAACCTGTCAACCCCTTATCAGAGCCCCTACCTTATTACAGACCGATTAAGACACCTTATTGATCACCCAGTGACCCTTACAAATATCAACGTTCATCCTTCAAAGTCGCATCGCAAGGAGAGAAACACAAACGTAAATTAATTTTGGACCTGCAAACTCAATCCCCTCTGCACAGGAAGACGGAGCAAACCGCGTGGAGGCCGATTCGCTGGGCCGAGAAAAAATCCACAAAGTTGCGACGGAAAAACCCAACCAATGTATTGCAAAGCAATGACATCGACGACGACGACAACGACGACGGCAATAATAATGTTACACGTAATTATTATCAATAACAATAATAAACGACGATATTTTTTTTTTAAAGATGCAAATTTACAATTGAAAAAATACTTCCAAATTTTTCAACACGACTTTGTGTTAGCACCATCAACGGATAACTATGGCACACAAATAAACTGCATAGCGTTGGGTGGGGGGGAGGGCAGCACCATGGTATCTGTAACACGAAGTAAATAGTCGACCAAATTGTCGAATGAATTGTCGACCGAATAGTCGACCGAAGAGTCGACCGAATAGTCGATCGAATAGTCGAACGAACTGTGGACCAAAACAGCCGACCAGTGCGCAAGAGATACACGTGACCAGGACAGACAAGCAGACAATGTCCCCTCTACAGAATTACATTGTTTTTTTAAAGTATCGTCTCAAAAACCACGACCCAAACTCTCCTGCCGCCGCCGGCGCGGGTAGCACGGGCGCTCGACGGCACTGGCTACCGCATGCAGCGATCTTCATCGTGGGCAGGTTGAGATGAATGAATGCGACGACGACGGTGGTGGTGGTGGTGGCGGTGGCTACAATGCTGCACGTGGCTGCTGCCGGCTGACTGTAAAGTTAACAGCACCGTGGCCGTGCGGAGGTTAACAACAGCGGCAGCGGCGGCGGCGAGGGTTGATGAATCACCACACGCAGATGTTGCGTAACCCCGTTTGGGTGGCAAGCAAGGCGGTAGCCGGAAACATTTGGGGCGCCATCCGTGGGGGACAGTGTTTGACACCCCAGTCGCATTGCGCCGTGGGGTCTCCCTTTGTCGGGCGCTCCGCTTTCCTGCCAGGTATAAACCGCTCAATTGGCCTGGGAATATCTTTGCCATATATAGATAGGGGACGGCAGAGCTTGGGCGATTGATCGGGGCCAGCGCTCGCCCCGCGTGCCTTCCGCTGCCTTCCCGCTCCACCCGCTCGCGTCGTTCCCCTCTCTACGCGAGAGCGGGAATCCGGATGCGAGGTACCGCCCCCCCCCCCCCCCCCCCCGTTGTCTCATGTCTGTCTGCTCATCTGACTCCGTCACGTGCTGCTTTGCGAGCCGCCCATCCTGTGAGGTTGGCACAGCAACCGTGCCAACCGTTGGGGGGCGGGGGTGGACGCTGGCACGCGGTTGGCACCTTTGGGTCAACATTGGCCTGACGACGCAAGAGTCACGGTCGCGTGCGGAAGGCCCCGCGCCCGATTGGTCGGAGCGGAGGTCACGTGATCACGGGGTTGTGACGGCCGCCATTTTTTTAAAATTTTGGTTTAAGGGCTTTAAACCAAAAGACGTCCCTGCGTGTGAAATGAACTTTGGAAATTGTGAATTGTGTATCGAAATTTTTTCTCGGCGGGTCCCGAGATAATAAAAAAAAAAGTCGACATCTTTTTCAAGATTTTCTTCAGGCGCCTGGGATTTTTCTTCGGCGGGTTGAGACGACGGTTACCGAGACAGTAGTGGTAGTCCTGGCAACAACGACGACGACGATGAGGGCGATTTCGCAAATTCAAGTGTCTTCTCAAACAAGTCGGGATGGGTCGCAGTAAAGTGACCTCCAAAAAAAAAAGGTGTTTTTAAGAAAGAATCGTAAGGTCCATTACCATTGACAGGAACAAACATCAACAGCAATAACAATAACGCCGACAAATAATAATAATAATAATGGAGGATATTAACAACAAAAAACAACCTTGTAAAAATAAAATAATTGACCTGGCCTCGCACCTGCACACAGGTACGAACAACATTTTACTTTAATCATTCAAATCATATCTCGACTTTAAAATTCCTTCGCTGTGGTTTATGCACGCCGTGTGTAACTCCGTGCCTTACAAGTTTACGAACACGCCCGTTTTCTTTTAGTGATTGCATCGTCTGGGCGAGGGAGGAGGGACGAAGGGAGGGAAGGGAGGAGGGTTGTGATGGGCATGGAAGACTGCGATGGGAGGGAATGAGGGATTGATCAAGGTGAAGGAATGAGGGATTGAAGGAGGTGAGAGAATTAGGGATTGAAGGAGGTGAGAGAATTAGGGATTGAAGGAGGGGGAGCGAGAGGGGGCGGCCCTCTAGCCGAGGTAGCAAACGGGCCCCAGCTGGAAGCCAAACTGCTGCCCAGGACCTCCGAGGTCTCCGGGCATGAGGTCCGCGATGGGCAGCTGCTCCACGTGGGGGGTGGAGACCTCCAGCACCGTGCGGCCCTCGCCCTTCCGCTCCTACGGCGCACGGGCGGCGCACACGGCAACGCCACAACCATCACGGCAACGCCACAACCATCACGGCACCATCACGCGGCACGCCACAACAATCACGGCAACGCCACAACCATCACGGCACCATCACGCGGCACGCCACCACCATCACGGCACCATCACGCGGCACGCCACAACCATCACGGCACGCCACAACCATCACGGCACCATCACGCGGCACGCCACAACCATCACGGCACCATCACACGGCACGCCACAACCATCACGGCACCATCACACGGCACGCCACCACCATCACGGCACCATCACACGGCACGCCACAACCATCACGGCACCATCACGCGGCACGCCACAACCATCACGGCACCATCACACGGCACGCCACCACCATCACGGCACCATCACACGGCACGCCACCACCATCACGGCACCATCACACGGCACGCCACAACCATCACGGCACCATCACACGGCACGCCACAACCATCACGGCACCATCACGCGGCACGCCACAACCATCACGGCACCATCACGCGGCACGCCACAACCATCACGGCACCATCACACGGCACGCCACCACCATCACGGCACCATCACACGGCACGCCACCACCATCACGGCACCATCACACGGCACGCCACAACCATCACGGCACCATCACACGGCACGCCACAACCATCACGGCACCATCACACGGCACGCCACAACCATCACGGCACCATCACACGGCACGCCACAACCATCACGGCACCATCACATGGCACGCCACAACCATCACGGCACCATCACACGGCACGCCACAACCATCACGGCACCATCACACGGCACGCCACCACCATCACGGCACCATCACACGGCACGCCACCACCATCACGGCACCATCACACGGCACGCCACCACCATCACGGCACCATCACACGGCACGCCACAACCATCACGGCACCATCACACGGCACGCCACAACCATCACGGCACCATCACACGGCACGCCACAACCATCACGGCACCATCACGCGGCACGCCACCACCATCACGGCACCATCACATGGCACGCCACAACCATCACGGCACCATGACATGGCACGCCACAACCAAGATGGCACCATCTCGCGGCATGCCACAACCATCGTGACGCCATCACGGCATGCCACACCATCACCACATCATCACCACACCATCACCACATCATCACCAGACACCACACCATCACCACACCATCATCACACCATCACGACACACCACACCATCACCATACCATCACGACAGACCACACCATCACGGCACCATCACATGGCACTATCACATGGCACGCCACAACCATCACGGCACCATCACACGGCACCATCACGACAAACCACACCATCACGGCACCATCACACCATCACGACAAGTCCCAACATGGAGCGGTCAGGTAAGGGATGACTGAGTGTCTGTCCAGGAACCTCCAAGTGTCACCCGTTGCACGTGACGTGTGCGCTATCGCTGGCTACTTTGCATCTACCCCTCCAACATTTCAAACAAAGACAAAGATCCCCCGTGTAGCCTGTAACAGACTGTTGGGGCAAGTGCTGTTAGCGAGCACCTACGAAGGCCGGCACGGCACACGAGGGGTTGGGTGGCAAGCACCACGCCCGGCCGCCTTTGTCTCCCCGGTGGCGATGTTTACACACCCCATCAGCTATTCATTTGAGGCTGAGTCGACCTAGGGGAGTGAGGCTCAGGACCGGTTCAGATAATCGTCACTGGGTGTTGGCCGTGAGCGGGGAATGGATCTCGCGTCACCGGGCTCGTAGCGCGGCCTAGCGCCAACCGCCACTACACATGTCAAGCACACACACACACAACATGTCAAACACACACACACGCAACATGTCAAACATACACACGCAACATGTCAAACACACACACACGCAACATGTCAAACACACACACACGCAACATGTCAAGCACACACACACGCAACAAGTCAAGAATACACACACGCAACATGTCAAACATACACACACGCAACATGTCAAACACACACACACGCAACATGTCAAACACACACACACGCAACATGTCAAATACACAAACACGCAACATGTCAAGAATACACACACGCAACATGTCAAACACACAAACACAACATGTCAAACACACACACACGCAACATGTCAAACACACAAACACACACACACAACATGTCAAACACACAAACACACGCACACGCAACATGTCAAACACACAAACACGCAACATGTCAAACACACAAACACGCGCACACGCAACATGTCAAACACACAAACACACACACACACAACATGTCAAACACACAAACACACGCACACGCAACATGTCAAACACACAAACACACACACACGCAACATGTCAAACACACAAACACACGCACACGCAACATGTCAAACACACAAACACGCAACATGTCAACACACAAACACGCAACATGTCAAACACACACACACGCAACATGTCAAACATACACACACGCAACATGTCACACACACACACATGCAACATGTCAAACACACACACACGCAACATGTCAAACACACAAACACGCAACATGTCAAACACACACACGCAACATGTCAAACACACACACGCAACATGTCAAACACACACACACGCAACATGTCAAACACACGCACACGCAACATGTCAAACACACACACACGCAACATGTCAAACACACACACACGCAACATGTCAAACACACACACGCAACATGTCAAACACACACACGCAACATGTCAAACACACACACACGCAACATGTCAGACACACACACACGCAACATGTCAAACACACACACACGCAACATGTCAAACACACACACACGCAACATGTCAAACACACACACACGCAACATGTCAAACACACACACACGCAACATGTCAAACACACACATGCAACATTACAAACATACACACACGCAACATGTCAAACATACACACACGCAACATGTCAAACACACACACACGCAACATGTCAAACACACACACATGCAACATTACAAACACACACACACACAAAATGTCAAACATACACACGTGCAACATGTCAAACACACGCAACATGTCAAACACACGCAACATGTCAAACACACCACGCGCGAGCCACCTGTCAAACAATTTCAACCGCCCAACCGTCCCGACACACGATCGCCGCGAAAGCGAGGGAAGGGGGACGGACGGGAGGGTCCGACTCACCGAGCACCCGTCGTGCAGCGCCCGCACGTAGGGGCTCGCGTCGTGCGAGATCTCCTCGTCGTTGGCCGCGAGCATCCGCACGGAGCGAGCGTGCGGAGAGCCGGCCCCGCCGTGCGCGTCCACCCACGCCACGGCGTCTCGGCACAGGTAGGTGACGTTCTGCCGGGCGGACGAGCTGAGCAGCCGCAGGAACGTCATCTGCACCGCGCCTACGGGCCTGCCGTCCAGGTCCACGTAGGAGAGCTAAAGGGGGGGTGGCGGGCGGGGGGAGAGGGTTGTCATCGTCGTCACGGTGGCGGTGGCTACGCCGTGTCGCGCGTGCGGTGTACGTGTGGACGTTCAACTTAATTTGCTCCAACCATACTGATCGGAGGTGGAGTGTTGAGTCTATGGGTAGTGTTAGTCTATGGGCAGTGTTGAGTCTAGGGGTAGAGTTGAGTCTATGGGTAGTGTTGAGTCTATGGGCAGTGTTGAGTCTATGGGCAGTGTTGAGTCTATGGGTAGAGTTGAGTCTATGGGTAGTGTTGAGTCTATGGGCAGTGTTGAGTCTATGGGCAGTGTTGAGTCTATGGGTAGTGTTGAGTCTATGGGTAGTGTTGAGTCTATGGGTAGTGTTAGTCTATGGGCAGTGTTGAGTCTATGGGTAGAGTTGAGTCTATGGGTAGTGTTGAGTCTATGGGCAGTGTTGAGTCTATGGGCAGTGTTGAGTCTATGGGTAGTGTTGAGTCTATGGGCAGTGTTGAGTCTATGAGCAGTGTTGAGTCTATGGGCAGTGTTGAGTCTATGGGCAGTGTTAGTCTATGGTGCAGTGTTGAGTCTATGGGCAGTGTTGAGTCTATTGGCAGTGTTGAGTCTATGGTGCAGTGTTGAGTCTATGAGCAGTGTTGAGTCTATGGGCAGTGTTGAGTCTATTGGCAGTGTTGAGTCTATGGGCAGTGTTGAGTCTATGAGCAGTGTTGAGTCTATGGGCAGTGTTGAGTCTATTGGCAGTGTTGAGTCTATGGTGCAGTGTTGAGTCTATGGTGCAGTGTTGAGTCTATGGGTAGTGTTAAGTCTATGGGCAGTGTTGAGTCTATGGGCAGTGTTAAGTCTATGGGCAGTGTTGAGTCTATGGGCAGTGTTGAGTCTATGGGTAGTGTTGAGTCTATGGGCAGTGTTGAGTCTATGGTCAGTGTTGAGTCTATGGGCAGTGTTGAGTCTATGGGCAGTGTTGAGTCTATGGGTAGTGTTGAGTCTATGGGCAGTGTTGAGTCTATGGGCAGTGTTGAGTCTATGGGCAGTGTTGAGTCTATGGGCAGTGTTGAGTCTATGGGCAGTGTTGAGTCTATGGTCAGTGTTGAGTCTATGGGCAGTGTTGAGTCTATGGGCAGTGTTGAGTCTATGGGTAGTGTAGAGTTTATGGGCAGTGTGGAGTCTATGGGTAGTGTTGAGTCTATGGGCAGTGTTGAGTCTATGGGCAGTGTTAGTCTATGGGGAGTGTTGAGTCAATGGGCAGTGTTGAGTCTATGGGCAGTGTTAAGTCTATGGGCAGTGTTGAGTCTATGGGCAGTGTTGAGTCTATGGGTAGTGTTGAGTCTATGGGCAGTGTTGAGTCTATGGTCAGTGTTGAGTCTATGGGCAGTGTTGAGTCTATGGGCAGTGTTGAGTCTATGGGTAGTGTAGAGTTTATGGGCAGTGTGGAGTCTATGGGTAGTGTTGAGTCTATGGGCAGTGTTGAGTCTATGGGTAGTGTTAGTCTATGGGGAGTGTTGAGTCTATGGGCAGTGTGGAGTCTATGGGCAGTGTTGAGTCTATGGGCAGTGTTGAGTCTATGGGCAGTGTTGAGTCTATGGGCAGTGTTGAGTCTATGGGCAGTGTTGAGTCTATGGGCAGTGTTGAGTCTATGGGTAGTGTTGAGTCTATGGACAGTGTTGAGTCTATGGGCAGTGTTGAGTCTATGGGCAGTGTTGAGTCTATGGGCAGTGTTGAGTCTATGGGCAGTGTTGAGTCTATGGGCAGTGTTGAGTCTATGGGCAGTGTTAAGTCTATGGGCAGTGTTGAGTCTATGGGCAGTGTTGAGTCTATGGGTAGTGTTGAGTCTATGGGCAGTGTTGAGTCTATGGGCAGTGTTGAGTCTATGGGTAGTGTTGAGTCTATGGGCAGTGTTAGTCTATGAGCAGTGTTGAGTCGATGGGTAGTGTTGAGTCTATGGGCAGTGTTGAGTCGATGGGTAGTGTTGAGTCTATGGGCAGTGTTGAGTCTATGGGGAGTGTTGAGTCTATGGGCAGTGTTGAGTCTATGGGCAGTGTTGAGTCTATGGGCAGTGTTGAGTCTATGGGCAGTGTTGAGTCTATGGGCAGTGTTGAGTCTATGGGCAGTGTTGAGTCTATGGGCAGTGTTGAGTCTATGGGCAGTGTGAGTCTATTGGCTGTACGTATGTACGTAGAACTTCTTTCGCACCGTACGTAGTCAACTGTGCTAATCGGGGGTGTACAGCGGGGGGGGGGGGGTGAAGGACAACAGGGTGCACGGTGGCAGTACGGCCAGCACCACGCCCGGCCGCCTTTGTCTCCCTAGAGGCGATGCGTGCACACCGCACATCAGCCACTGAGTTGAGGCTGAGTCGACCTAGGGGGGTGCTGGCCGCGTCCCTACCACCGCGCCTCCATCGATCCGCGCGGGGTCTGTGCAGCCATCGGGACGGAGGGGGCGGTGGCGAGTGGATGGGCGAGCTAGAAGGCCTAATTAATTTTTCCTTCATTTCCGTTAATGGGGATGTGTGTGTTGGGGGGGGGGGCTAATTAGGATTGATTTTGACTCCACGACCTCATAACCCCCCCCCTCTCTCCTCTGTACCGACACCTCCCGACGCTGACCACCGCCACCGTAATTGGTTATCGACCGCCAGAGAAGCGACGTGCACGCGACGTAATTGGTCGCGACCGGCGGGTACCCGGAGCAGAGAGAGGGAGACGAGGATGAGAGGCGTGGGGGCATGGTGGTGGCGCTGCTTGCCGTGCCTCCGCCGTGGTCAATTGATCAACAAATCGATGGTGGAGGGGAGGGAGGGTGGGAGTGGGGGAGGAGAGGCGGTGGTGGTGGTGGGGGGCGTCAGCTCGTTAGCGAGGCGGTAATTGAGCGATACGGACGCATTAGCCGTGATGTTTGCCGATAACTCTTCAGCGCACGGCAACCAAAATCTGTGCGTGTGGGGGACGGCGGGGGGTGCAGCAAAGGCCCCCTTGCCCACGAATAAAGGGACACCCCAAATTAGAACTTGAGAGTTATTTCGTGCTGTCATTGGTGACCGTGCTGAAACCATCAATGCACTCGACTTAAGAACCTGGTGTAACAGGCTAAAATAACCACCTTCCCTGATTAAACCTGGGTATAGTTTGGCCCAGGCCAGAGTATACACGGGGAGATAGAGTGTCCTAGGCTAAACTATACCCGGGAGTTTAAACTAGTCTGGTCCAGACCATACCCCTCTAGGCCAGAATATGCCCCATGTGAAAGTTCAAAGGCAATTATCCACACAGAGAACAGCCGACAACGAACTTCAATCGATATCTAAAAAGCGTATAAATGGAAGCAAGAATCTCAATTTGATCAATTGGAGCATTTTAAGGTTTAGGGTTATTATTAAAGTTTTTTTTCTGGTTGAAGCAATCAAATTCTATGTGTTTCCAGTTTTAAATAAAATGTTGGGAAAATGTAGTAATTCATGTGTATATCGCTCAACACTATTACTGGGGCTATGATTTGGCCTATAGGGGCATAATTTGGCCGAGGCCGTAATATATCCGGGTATAATCTAGCCTAGGCCGTTTTAACCCCGGGTATACTATGGCCTGTGGGTTAACTCCGGCCTGTTACACCGGTTTAATCACAACTCGGTCTGTGCGAGTCTATGGGTCTCTCTGTGAGTCCATGGATCTATGTGTGAGTCTAGGGGTCTCTGTGTGAGGAGTCTTTGGGTCTCTGCGTGAGGAGTCTTTGGGTCTCTGTGTGAGTATATAGGTCTCTGTGTGAGAAGTCTATGGGTCTCTCTGTGAGAAGTCTTTGGGTCTCTGTGTGAGTCTGTGGATCTTCATGTGAGCCTATGGGTCTCTGTGTGAGTCTATGGGTCTCTGTGTGAGTCTATGGGTTTCTATATGAGTCTATGGTCTCTGTGTGAGTCTATGGGTCTCTGTGTAAGTCTATGGGTCTCTGTGTGAGTCTATGGGTCTCTGCGTGAGTCTATGGGTCTCTGTGAATCTACGGATCTGTGTGAGGTGTCTATGGGTCTCTCTGTGAGTCCATGGATCTATGTGTGAGTCTAGGGGTCTCTGTGTGAGTATATAGGTCTCTGTGTGAGAAGTCTATGGGTCTCTCTGTGAGAAGTCTTTGGGTCTCTGTGTGAGTCTGTGGATCTCCATGTGAGCCTATGGGTCTCTGTGTGAGTCTATGGGTTTTTATGTGAGTTTATGGGCCTCTGTGTGAGTCTGTGGATCTTCATGTGAGCCTATGGGTCTCTGTGTGAGTCTATGGGTCTCTGTGTGAGTCTATAGGTTTCTATATGAGTCTATGGGTCTCTGTGTGAGTCTATGGGTCTCTGTGTAAGTCTATGGGTCTCTGTGTGAGTCTATGGGTCTCTGTGTAAGTCTATGGGTCTCTGTGTGAAGAGTCTATGCGTCTCTGTGTGAGGAGTATATGGGTCTCTGTGTGAGTCTATGGGTCTCTGTGTAAGTCTATGGGTCTCTGTGTGAAGAGTCTATGCGTCTCTGTGTGAGGAGTATATGGGTCTCTGTGTGAGTCTATGGGTATCTGTGTGACGAGTCTATGGGTCTCTGTGTGAGGAGTCTTTGGGTCTCTGCGTGAGGAGTCTTTGGGTCTCTGTGTGAGGAGTCTATGGGTCTCTCTCTCTCTGTGGAAGGAGTCTATGGGTCTCTGTGTGAGGAGTCTATGGGTCTCTCTCTCTCTCTCTGTGTGAGGAGTCTATGGGTCTTTGTGTGAGGAGTCTATGGGTCTCTGTGTGAGGAGTGTATGGGTCTCTGTGTGAGGAGTCTATGGGTTTCTGTGTGAGGAGTCTATGGGTCTCTGTGTGAGGAGTCGTTGGGTCTCTGCGTGAGGAGTCTATGGGTCTCTGTGTGAGGAGTCTATGGGTCTCTGTGTGAGGAGTCGTTGGGTCTCTGCGTGAGGAGTCTATGGGTCTCTGTGTGAGGAGTCTATGGGTCTCTGTGTGAGGAGTCCGATGCGTCGTCGATGTAAGTTGTTGGTGACCA